GAGAAATATTAGGCTTATTGAAAGTGATAATTTCATTTTCTTTCTTTACCCATCGTGATGACAATGCAATTTTAAAATAAGGTGATCTTGCCGATAAGATAATAGAATGAGCTTTAAATTCTTTAATATTTGGTTTTTCACCAACTTTAATTATTATATCAAAATCTAAATGTTTAGAGCTTTCAAGCAAGTTTTGAATGGACTCGTTACTCATATTTGCAAGTAAAAATAAAGATAAATGCAAAAGGATTGTTTTTTTTTTCCGTAATATTTCAACCTGCTTAAAATAATACAGTGCGTTAAAATGACTACCGTAATTATAGTGTTAGATATATCATGTAGATCAAATATATGGGGTGTCACGGCCCATTTTTACATTTAAACAATTATCTTCAAATATTCAAAATTCTAGGGATGTTAAAAAAATCCGTCTGGTCCAGTCCCAGTCCGGTCCTTAAAAAGTCTGGTCCTGAACTAGTTAGGAACTAGTTCATAACCCCTGTCCAACTTGTATTATACGGCAAAAAAAACAATAATCAAACCAATTAGCGATCCTTAAATTATAGTATTGTTCTTGATTTAAGTTTAATTAAATTTCATTTTAAATGTCAAAATGACATCCGGGCTAGTTCTAACTAATGTGACAATATCTTTGCATCTATAATTAATAAGTATTATTAATTACCCAATTAAGTTTAGACCTATTTAAATTTCAGCGATATAAAAGTATTATTTTTGATTCATGCTATATAATTTCCATTTGAGATGTCAAAACGACACTCGGTTCATGCCATGTGATTATTTAGACTAGTTTCAGATTGGTTCTGAACGGTCCTTAAAATGTTCAGTCCAGAACCGGTCTGGACCTGACACTGCGGACTACTTAACATCCCTACAAAATTCATTTTGCTCCTTTTATTATATAATAAGCAGGGGAGACATTCGAATCCGATGATTTCCGAGAAGAATTTTCGGGTTTAAAAAAAAAAAACCCCAAACATACTATACTTTACTAATAAAATACCTTCGTAACGAACGTTTTGTTAAAGCATCAAGTTGCATCAAGTTTGCATCACGCTATAAAAGGTAGATCTATTAAGAATTGAAGTACTGTCTACCGATTGTACTGCTTAATTCGCAAAGTTTAACGTTTGTTTTGCTTTTTTTATTATTATTTCAATTATTGTTAATTTTTATTCACAAACTTATGCAGACTCTTTTTTAAAATTATACATGCTTCATAAAGAAATTTAATTCAATAGAAGTAATTTAATATGTACGATTACAGTCGTCCTCCTCTGTATATGGTTTTATTAATTACGTGAGGTTTTAAGAAAAATGATTGAAGGACGTATAACTTGCTATTAAAACTCTTTTGTAAAATTGTAAAGCTGCTATTAGAATGTAGTGATCTGATTTCTTTACAACGTGAGTTATTTTATTTCGAAGTTAAACTATGAAATTGTAATATATGAATAATGCTCACTTAGTTCAATAATTATATATCTGTTTTGATCATGTGTTGATAAAGCCTGTTTTTGATTGGCCAACAATCTTATAATAAAGCGCGTGATTTTCTGAGTTCCTGCTTATAATTAGCTCTTGTAACTTATAGCAAACTTTTTTATTGAATTTATAACTATTCAAAAATAAAATAAAAAATTTTTTGAAAATTTGTAAAAATGGATCCTTTTAATATGTGACAACCTATATAACAGCATTAAATTTTGTGTGATTAATTATCATGTTTTTAAATAATTTAATTAGTTAATTTTATAATCAGAGATTATAGCAAATTAATATGATATAGGTAAGAAACTTATACAGGGAATCACCATTTCTGGTGTTGCATATAGTAATATAGTCAAAAATATAAAAGAAGCTATGCAGAATTTAAAAAAAAAATATAAACATACATGTATGTATATATAATAATACAGATAGTTAAGATTAGAGTTAGAATTATACTTCATATTAGCATATTAGGGCAGTGTTGTTATGAGACAGTTGTAGACAATAAGTTTGGATATTTTGAACAATTTTGGACAATTAAATAAATTAAAATTACTCAAAATTTATTAAAGTAACATATTATTTTCTAAGTAAAATACTGTATATTTAGTATTTAAAAAAATATATAATCATATATTTTTTAACCAAATTTATTAATTATTAAAGCTTGGACATGCTCTGAACACTTGTAAACACTTGGATATTTGGATATTGGACAGTGTTAAAAAGCCTTTGGACAGTTAACATGTACTGTATATTACTATATTAGAGTATAGATTTATATGAATAGTTCAAGTATTTGTCTAAAGAGTCTGATCGACTATTATATTTTTTTATTTTATTGACAGCCTTATCAGTATTTTTATTAGATCAAAGCATATATATACATATATTTAATTATCTAAATAATAGATTTAACATTCTTTATCTACTCTATTGAGTGCCTAAGAACAGTCTGCCTCACCAGCTAAGACATTTTGTCTGTGCTGAAAGGCTGCACCAAGCTAGCCTGTAAAACTATATCAAAATAGTTTCATTTTATTTTTAATAAAATTTTAATAGTATCAAACTAAGTATTTTCTTTTTTTTAGTTTTTACTTTTTTATTTTTCTTATCTTTTTTTATTTTAACTTTACCCTTGATTTGATTCTGACTTTAACTCCTTTCTTTCTCTAAAATCAAATCTGTCTCCTTACTACTTATGTTCAGTTTCTTTATATTAGATTTTTTCTCTTTTTCTTTGTGTTTATTTCCTTCTCTTTTTCTCAATTGCTTATATATATGCATCTTGATTTTTATGTTTTAATAAAAGTAGTTCTATACTGAGTTATTGCCATGTCTAAATAGCTTCTGAATTCTTTCAAACTTCTTATTACTTTAAAATTCTTTTCATGTTGAAGTTTATTTTTTTTTAAATTTTAAAAAATGAAAACATGCTTCTAATTTTATTAAAATTCAATTAAATTTCATTACATGAAATATATACAGGAAAGAAATTACATTTGAATATCATATCCAAAGGATACTAAAATTAGAGACTCAGGCACAATGTTATATTAACATAATTATCTGCAACCTAAACCTATTGAAGTTTGTTATTTAGAATACTATTATTAATTAAATAAATAGGAGTTTCAGAATTAATTTGTTTTGAAAATAAGTAGAATTTAAAAATCCTACTTCTATTTAGAGATAGACAAGTTTAGTTAACTATTATTATTTATTATTTCCAATTATTCCATATCATTTTTTGCGAAATAATCAATAATAAGTAACATTACAGTGAATTTATGAAATTAGAGCATTTTGGCTTACTATGAAGTGCATTATTTACTATTTGTTGTTTGACAGTTGAGTGTTGCTAAAAGAAAACCCAAAATTTAAATATAACTTGTATTTAAATTTTTAGGTTTTCTTTTAGTGACACTCATTTTTATTGTAAAATCATATAGATAACATTTAACCCATCTTTTCACAGGAAGATGAGTTAGATGTTATCTATATGATTTTACAATAAGAAATATCAAATAACAAATAGTAAATGACACACTTCGTAGTGAGTCAAAATGCTCTAATTTCATAAATTCGCCGCAATGAATAATTGTAATAACAAATTATTGAGTTTAAAATTTGCTTTCCAGATTACGAGATAATTAATAGAAGGCAATTTCTTATTGTACACGGGTGTTTGCACACGGGTGTATAGAAAAGCCAGTCGATATCTCAAAATTTTGATTATGAAACCATTTGGCTTCTAACAAAAAAAATTCTTCGTGAATTTTGGTATAAGTTATTCCCCACCTCTATTCCAAATTCACCCTTACCCTAACCTTAGGCAACGTTTTAACTTTTGTTCTATTCGATTTGCACATTACACAAATTTGCAAATCAATTAATTAATACCCGTGTATATACACTACGTGTAAGATTAGATTTTTCCTTAATAGAAATAATTAGTAATAGCTGTATAAATATTCGGCAAAAATAAGCAATTATTAAATTAAATAGGCACACACGGTAATAAAATTAGTTTTTTTTGATAAATATCTACTGGTAAACGATTATGTAAATAAGTTTTTATGCAAAAATTTGGATCCAAATTTTTTGATTTTCCAAATGACATCAAACATTCTAGAACATGTGTGATCTGACCAATAAAAATGCATGGTATTTGATATATAAATTGTAGCACAAGTCTTTTTAGGTCTTTCGGCTAGGAGAAAGACAATTTTATTTTTTAAAGCAAATAAAAATAAAGAGTTATGTAATTTAGCGCATGTGCGTTATTATTTATTGTTGAAAGGAATGAGTGACATCATATTATATCATATATTTATATATATATTCTAGTAAACATACGCGAAAACAATTTTTTTTTTGTTTATTTAATAATTGATGAAAAATTTTTACGATTATACGAGATAAAAAAATTATACATTTTATATTATACATTTTAAACATATTTATTTTTGTTTCTATAACGTTACTATTTACATTTCCCTATTCAAAATTTTATCCAAAATTTATCCCAATTTTGGTCAATATCCAAATAAAATTTTTGCGATTATTTTGCAGGTTCCCGTTTTTACGTTAAGAAAAATGGGATTTATTTGATGTAAATGCATCACTTATTTTATCCAAAACATTAATTCTAAACCTCCAATATGTTTATAAAAACACTTTTAGAGTTAACTTGCAGCGTTAACCTGCATACTTTTTTTTATCTATAAAATTAGATAAAACTTGTAAAAAAAAAAAAAAAAAAAAAAGGTAAAAAAATTTTTTATTGAAAATTCTACATCTTATATTACAGTATCTTACGATATTAATATTATAAAATCGAAAATAGTTACCATTTCTTGAGTTGTTCATTGAATAGATGTTTGATAAATAGAATAGTCTGTTTGTTTACAAATAAGTAATTTCGAGTAAATTAAAGAAAAAAGAAAGATATAGTAGTAATTTTAGAAAACATACTTGTAAGACTATTACAGTTTGATTTCATCCATAGTGCTGTGTTAATTAAAGAGCTTAATGGTCTACTAGTAAATATTGCCTGTACGTTTATTTTTTTGATAGGCCTGTATAATATATTTTCTGGGAATTTTATTGCTTTATTATTACGAATACCTATAATAGAATTCCAAATATTTTCAGCACTTGGCCTGTTTAATGGATTCGCGTCCCAACATTGTTCCATTAAATCAATATAAGACAGTGGTAAGTCGTTAATTAACTCAGGACGAAGACCGTTAAGTATATCAAGAATAAGAAATTCATCGTGATTACGATCAAAAAAAGGCTTTTGAGCAGTTATCATTTCCCACATAATCATTCCAAAACTGTAAATATCTGATGCAGTCGTATATTTTTCACCATTAAATATTTCAGGAGCAATATATGGAATCACTCCATATATCTCTTTTGTATCTGTTATCGAATTTGCCGGTTTGCTTATTCCAAAATCACCTATCTTTATACCTCTCCCTGAATTTGGATCATTAACAAGTATATTACCACTATGAAGATCTCGATGAATAATTTGTTTATTATGAACCATCCAAAGTCCGTATGCTATATTTTGTAGCATTTCAAGCTTTTTTTTCCAAGATAAATTAAAAAAATTTTTTGAAATATAATTATGTAAGTCACCGTTTTGTGCAAAGGCCGTTACAATTATATAATTTTTTGTTTCCGGATGACGTGTGATGCCATAATATTTATGTATATAGGAACCAGAACCTGAACATTGAAAATAATTTTTTAACTAAAATTAAAGAACTAAGTTAACTAATAGGATCTACGAATGATATAAATGATATAAATGATATAAATGATATAAATGATATAAATGATATAATTCTAACAATGCAAACCTCATTTAAAAAATCGTGACCTATAACTTCAGAATTGTTAAGATTTTTAAGAACAACCGTTAAATTGTTATACATCCCAAATGTTTGCCTATAATGATTCCAGTTACGTTTTATACTATTAACACATGTTGCCTTATATATTTTACTAAACCCACCTTCAGTAAGATAAGTGATATTACTGAACTGCTCGTATGGAATAAACTCTATAAGACCAATTCTACCAATTTGTTTATTTATCTTAGTAAGCCAATTATCTATAACTTCATTACCACTAAATATGAAGTTATCACAAAAATTACACTGATAGGCATTATAATCCTTATGAAGTCTTCTCCTTTTGCATTTTTTACATTTTTTATAATATTTATAGCAAACATTACAGTGTTGGGCATTTTCATCCTTGTGACGCCTTCTCTTTCTGCATTTTTCACACGTTTTAAGGATTTGATAAGTCATGGTTTAATAATATGCCACTAATCTGATAATTGCAAGTGATTATGCTAATATAAGATTATAAGATTCATGTAGAAAATAATTAAAATACATAAATTTACACAATTTCCAGAGATAAGTTATGCAGATTTTTATTTTTTTAGATTGCAAACGAAAAGCATAAAATTTTTTACAAAATTCAAATTAATTTATAGATGCATCTTTATCAAAATATGTAGGCACGTTCACGTTCAGAATGTGCATTTTGATCAGTCAGGGACTGTGAAAAACAGAATGTGCGTGAACTGCAGAATGTGCATGACATTTAATATTATTACTGCAGTACTGTATTAATCTCTACATGCACATTCTTTCTATATTAGTATATGATGCACATACATAAAAAATCGGTCAAATGTTATTATTATCGCTGTTGACGATTATTGAATGTGCATCATGAATCATTCTGAGAACAATTGAGAACAATGAAGATACATAGGCGTATTTGCCAAACCAAACCAACTGTATTTCTGCTCATTAAGTTTTAAACTTTATTACCTGTGAATTTATTTCATCATAACCAGTTTGCCTAAGTTTAAACCTGTGACACCCAAAATAAGGTGAGTTAGATCTAAGTGTAATATGCATATAACTACAGAATATCCATTCAAAGTGATTTTTGTACGTACGTACGTACTTTGTGTATCATATGTTTAATTACAAAGATTATTATAAAATTGAAAATCTACAAAAATAACCATACGCGATACATAATCTTTATTAATTTCGGCAATTGTCGAGAAAATTCTTCAGTCACGATCTTTTTACACATACCGATGCCCCTTAGAATCTTATGGCATTTCATTTCTGCATTTATTGATGCAAGTTTAATTTAGACAGTTACATCCCATTCTTCCTGTAAATACGCATGTATGCACGTACGTACTGGCTCTGCACAAATAAAGAGTATCACATCCATTATTGTAAAAGTTATGCAATAATACAGATTTTTTCACAACGCCATCAAACTTTAGTCACCTTTAACATAGTCAATCCTTGTTCCCGACATCACAATTTTCATTAAATTTCCCAATCGGGTAATTGGCACTTTCAATAGTTTGTAATCCAAGTCTATCAAAGAATGTATCGAAGATTGAGAAGACATTCCATTCAGAATGTGCATTTGAAACAGTAATTAAAGTTAAAATAATTTGTGTTTCACATGGGGGCAAATATTTGCGTGAAATATTATATTATAGATCGCACTATAGATAGAGATATACACTAGATGGTGACAGATTATCCAAATATTTGGTGAAAATTGGTGTAGAATCCATAGGACAAAATGAGTGTTACAGGGTGAAAACCTGTAGCTGCACTTAATGATTTACTATGATCAGGTTTTGAAAATATGAAATTGGTATTTTATAGACGACATTTGTGAACATATTCGAAAATTATAATTTGGCCTTTATGTGAATGAATATATACATACTACCTACCTAAAACGATGATTGTATAAACCTCATGAAAAACAATTTAATTTAAGGCATTTGTAAATTTCAACTGCGGTCATGTTTTGAATGTGCATACTAGCAATTTATTTTGGAATATCGAGCCAAGGGTGCTGAGGCCAGATTGTATGTACTCATTTGTCAAAACTTTATTCTGAATGTGATTTACCTTGATTACTGAAAAAGATATTCTTTAACTTTTATGGCTTCTATCTGCAATAAATAACTTATTTTGTTGTAATGGACGTTTTGGCGTTTACTTGCCATCACATTCCAAATATTTTGTACAAAAGCGCAAGATGATTTCGTTTCTGTAAAATCTGACTAAAATTTGATAGCTTCAACAAAAATAGCATAGTATCTTAAAAATGTTACTTTTCGATTATATTTTTGCAGGTTCAATTTTTTTTTTTCCTGAAATAAAACGCGTTTACAATGTGTTCTTGGGTTTCCAACGATCAAAAAGTTGGAAATTTTAATATTTAATTTTAAAAATTTTATATCAACCATACGCTTAATTTATAAGATGAAAAAATAGGCTATTCTATAAATGTCGTAACTAGACGCGATTGAATATTAAAAAACTGTTTGCAAGTGCAGTATTGTTACTTTAAAAATGAAGAGTTAAAAAAAGTGTTTCACGTTATATTATTATTATTTTTTTTAAAAAAAATCTCTTAAAATTCTGAAATGCGGTAGAAAAATAAGCATAATTAATTCTAGTAATTCTAGTACTTTTTTGGTAAAAAAGTTGTCATATCGTTTTCTGATCGTCCGGAAACCCTTGTATTCTGCAACTTTACAATCCCAAAGAGCATCCATTATGGCCATTAAATTTATTGCCATTTTTCATTCATTTTTTTTAGAACTAGATAACTCCCAGCAAAATGAACATCCGAGTTTGGATGCTATCGTGCAAAGTCAATCCATCGGTGACGTAATAGTTGATGGTTCTTGGTTCACTTCTTCAGGTAATTTGTTTCTTTTTTGGCATAAACTAATTATTGTTTGCACAAATTTCTGTCGGTTGCCATTGATTAGCCATTGATTATATAAATTTACATTCAAATATTTTTAGACTCAGAGCCTGATGCAATGGGCCCTAATAAAATGGTCTCGTTTTCCGCGGATCTTCTGGGCACCGGTAAGGTTTAATTATTATCCTATTTAATTGTACAAAATATTATAAATTTACATTCAACTATTTTTAAACTCAGAGCCTGATGCAATGATCCCTAATAATATTGTTTCGTTTTCCGCGGACCTTTTGGGCACCGGTAAGGTTTAATTATTATACTATTTAATTGTATAAATTTACATTCAACTATTTTTATATTCAGAGCCTGATGCAATGGTCCTTAATAATATTGTTTCGTTTTCTGCGGACCTTTTGGGCACCGGTGAGGCTTAATTCTTATACTATCTATACCATAAAATTGTACAAAATATTATAAATTTAAATTCAACTATTTTTAAACTCAGAGCCTGATGCAATGGTCCCTAATAATATTGTTTCGTTTTTCGCGGACCTTTTGGGTACCGGTAAGGTTTAATTATTATACTATTTAATTGTATAAATTTACATTCAACTATTTTTAAATTCAGAGCCTGATGCAATGGTCCCTAATAATATTGTTTCGTTTTCCGCGGACCTTTTGGGCACCGGTAAGGCTTAATTATTATACTATCTATACCATAAAATTGTACAAAATATTATAAATTTAAATTCAACTATTTTTAAACTCAGAGCCCGATGCAATGGTCCCTAATAACATTGTCTTGTTTCCGTGGACCTTTTGGGCACCGGTAAGGTTTAATTATTATACAATTTAATTGTACAAAATATTATAAAGTTACATTCAACTATTTTTAAACTCAGAACCTGATGCAATGGTCCCTAATAGCATTGTCTCGTCTTCCGCGAACCTTTTGGGCACCGGTAAGGTTTAATTATTATTTAATTTAATTGTACAAAATATTATAAATTTACATTCAAATATGTTTAAACTCAGAGCCTGATGCGGACCTTTTGGGCACCAGTAAGGTTTAATTATTATATTATCTATACCATACAATTGTACAAAATATATTTATGTCTTATTTTATTTAAGATTCCAGCGAAGTGGTCCTCGATAACAACACTTTACCGCCTCACATGGATTCCTTGGCTTCACGTAGATTTCAATTATTTTGGGCCTGTCGTGCTTGAAATTCAAGCGTCTGAAGTTGCACCTGACTGAAATTAGTCCCTAAAATTTAGATTTACTTGCATGCATAAGTAGTAATTTTAGGCAGGTACAACTTTTATGCAGATGCTACGTAACTTCAAGCACGACAACCTCATGCGAGTTTTTGCCTATGCAAATTTACTTATTTGCATTTGAAAATTCTTAGGTTTCGGTGTAATGACCCTTGATGACAAAACTTTATCACCATTTAATCCTTCAATTTCAAGTAAGTTTTATTTTACTTTTTCTATTTAACTATGCAAAATTGGCACTTCGTTTTATTTACATTCGAATATTCCTAATTTAAGTTCCTGCTATTAACTTTAATTACAACGTTGTTTCGTCTCCTGTCGCATTGGACCCTAATTATGATTCTCGTCCCATTTTCTCGCCTTCTACGGGACGTCGTGCTATGTCTCTCAAAAAAGAATTGTGTCGCTATTGTAAAAAACGTTTTCGACATTTTAATGAATTGCAAGATCATTTTTACTCCAAACATAGAAGAAAAAAATCGTAAGTCAGTTATTTAATACTGTATAACAACAAAATAACAAATATGTACATTATAATCTGGATTAAGCTTAAAGTGCATATCGATACTTGTTATTTCGTAGTCATACACAATATTTAAATGCAATAATAATTTTATTTCACTTCTTTTCCAGCATACAAATGTTTAATTGAGGGATGCAAAAGTTTCAAAAAACTTTTCTCTGGCAAAAGTAACTTTAAACGGCATTATAAAGATTTTCATCCTGACAAATCTCATCCTATCCTTGAAAAGAGAGGTATAAATCGACTTCGCCGAAAACGGTACAACCGATTTAGATCAGGTTTATAACCTGTAGATAAATTCTACCAGACCTTTTAAAATAACATCTTATATCGTTATTTTAATTTCTTGATTCTGAAAAAAAAAAGATTTACTTTTTAATTTTTCGATCCTGAAACACAGAAAAATTTATTTTCTTTGCTTTTAAAAAAAAGTTATTTTTACATATTTTTTAAAAAAAAAAAAGAAAAAATTGAAAAAAATTGAAAAAAAATTATTTTTTACTCTTTTTTTTTGAAAAAAATATATTTTTACTCTTTTTTTTTAAAACAAAATTATTTTTACTCTTTTTCTTTTTTTTAAAAAAAAAATTATTATTACTTCATGTTTGCTTTTTGATTCCGAAATACAAAAAGATTTTTTAAGAGAAATTATTTCTTTATTTTAAACTTACTGTATTTTACAATCTTCAACAGTGGCCACCTAAAAATCTTTTCTTGTACAGAAATAAATAATTAATGTGCAACAATATTAACGTTAGTATTTTGACACGGACATATATCCACAAGTTGATTGGTTATTTGTAAATAACGGTAATATTTATTATATATAAAATTAATTTTCACTATACAAAATGTATTTTTGGTACAAAGACTGATTGGGCCAGCCTGCAAAGGGGGGTCGACCCTTGACTCGCCCACGAGTCTGGCTAATGGGTCAGGTTCAGCCCATATCACTATTTTATAGTTTATAAACTAAATTTGAAATGTAATAAATAGATTAGGATTGGACTAAAAAATTATTAATATAATAATTATATTGTAAGTTTTGTGGGGTCTAAATCGATCAAAGTTTTTAGCTTCAGCCCCACAATAATTACGTAATTTACACCTAAAAGATTTTTTGCATTAACTATAACTAGTGATTAGATCTAAATCTGGTAGTTTTAGGCACATACCGCATCCCAAATTACTAAAACTAGGTTGGAACTTAGGATTTAGGGTAAAATGTTAGGGATATTGGTTCCCAATTCCAAATTGTCGTAACGTCATTATTTATTGTAAATAATTTAGTTCCCATAATTAGTTATACATATATATAACTATCCAATATTAGGTATAAGATATGAAAACACTTAAGTGATGGGCTAAAAATTAAAAAATGTGATCTAGTAAAAAAAAAGTTGATTCTCAATAAATTATTGTTGTGGCTGATGTTGCACTCCAAGGCCTCGATTTGAAAATATAAGCCCTGCTAAAATCCACATATACTCTTTAATTATCAATTCTATCCCTAACTTCTAACCCCAAAAAAATTTAAAACTTCATAACAAAATAGGTCAGAATTTCAGCATCAGCCGCAATATTTATTTAATGCGCCGATTAAATATTACCTATTCTTAACTCCGTAGTCCCCATCATTAGAAAAAGTAACAGGCTTAAATATAAAGTGCGTCATTTGTTTGTTACAAATCGATAGTTTAATTCAGAAAAATGGGTTAAGCGTTGCTTATGTAATTTATAATAAGAGACGTTTAAAAACAATAGTATATTACGCACTTTATACTTTGGATAATAAATTTCACAATCGTACCGTAATGTTATTATTTTTCGAGGTTGTTAAAAATCATCAACTCCCCAGGTTAAGGTGCGTCAATTATATATATTCATATGTCTAATGAGGTGCGTCACTGAGATATCAAAGATCATCCGATGTGATTTAAACAATCTATTTAGAATTTGAAAACAGGTTCAAAATTGTATTAAAGCCATGATTACATAATCAAAGAATTAGAATTTTTTCTCAGTGAATATATATGTTACACTCTTAAATATTTAGGCAATCATATAATCAATTATCAAGAGAAGAAAATTTCATATGAGTTCGATGGATTAATTACGTAATAAGCGAGTATTTACTTGATTATCGAACAAAGACATCATATATCTAAATTGCTTAGCGTTGAATCTTGTTACTGTAATAAATACATCATCATCTATCCAGTGATCATTTAATTTGCACTTTGCCAAATTATGACGTGTTGAATAAATGGTGAACGAAAATGACATAAAATTTAATATAATGGATTATTACACGTATATAAAGGTTTGAAAATACTCGACATTTTTTATAACTTCCAAGAAAAAGAATACGAGTTCGAGTAAAACAGAGAAAATAATAAGAGTAAAAAAAAAATATCATATTAGAGTTATTTATTTGAAGACAAAAGAGAAAACATGTCAAACAAAAAACTTCCGTCAAAAAACGATCCTGAACGTACCACTGCTGAGCAAGAAGCGTTGAAAACTGCTGAAAGAGCAACTCAGTTTACTGAGGCATTAAAGTATTCTATCAAAAAAAAAAAAAATTTTTTTTTGAATAATTTGAATAATTTAAATAAATAATTTTCTAAATTTTAATCTAAATTTAATAGAGAAGGAAGACTTCCAACAACTGAACAAATCACGACGACCATTGACTCAATTCATGATAATGATACATTTCATGAAAGTGCCCGTGGAATGTCTCCTTTGGGTAAAAAGGTGTTGGCTAATACAGAAAAATTTTTAGAAAGTACAAAAAATCTTTTGGCCGAGAAGAATGCTGGTGATGAATTACAGAATACTGTATATTATGGTAATAAAGCTGCAAGAGAAATAAGCGGTAGGTATTAATTAATGCATTTATATATTATATATTATATATATTATATATTATATATATCATATATATTATATATATCATATATATTATATATTATATATATATTATATATATATTATATATATTATAGATATTACTAATTCTTCAACCCATTTTTTTTCATTATAGAAACCGTTACGTCAAGGGACATAAAACAAAAAGTAAATGAACATAAAAAAAGAGTAGATGAACATATTGCTGCTTGTGAACCATCAGTGAAAGAAATTTGGCAAAAGACCTTATTGGTAATTAATGAAAAATCTCAAGTATAGATTTTTTTTAATCTACAGCAGTGGTTTTTTCATCTGATATATATATGTTTTTTTTGTATAGATTCCTCAACTATTAATTTCAAACCCGGAATTTCGAAAATTGGTGAACGATATTAATTGTGTCTTTCAAGAAGCTTTATCAGTTACTGTTCCTGGTAATGAAGAAGTTAATGTTGAGACGCCAACAACTGATGATGAAAAATCACCGCAAGAAATTTCTCAACATGTTAAAAGACAAACTCGCGAAAGTGTATACCCTGTGGCTAAGGCCGGAGCGGGAATTGTTGGACCACAAATAAGGGAGTTTGGTGAAGGTAAAAAATCTCTACAAGAGGCAGCTGGTGAGGGGATGAGGAGCCTTGCAACATCTCTTAAAAATAGAGTAACAAGCTATAACTTATCACCCGAAAGACGTGAACGTATTATTACCAGATTTAAGAATCTCATATTCGAGACTCAAAAACGTCCAGAATATCAGGAAGCTCTCACCGATATTATTGGTGTCATTTCTCGTATTTCTGAATATACACAAGAAGTCGTTAATCAAGCTTCAGAAACAGCTAAAAGCACTAATCAACAAGTACCGTCACTTAAAATTGCACAACAAAATGCTAAGGAACTTCTCGAGAATTTTGCCAATCATAGGTCATTAGATGACTTAATTGCTGCTTTAAAAAATATGGGGACACAAATCAAACAAGATGAAGAACTTCGTCATTATCTGAAAGAACTTCAACATTTTGTTCTCTCCTCTTTACGTGATCATGAATTTGTTCAACGTACCGATTATAATGAACATGGATCGCGTCTCATTGAAAATGGGCGTCGAATCTTGTTGGAAAATTATCGAGAGACCACACAAAAGATCGCTGAAGAGGCAGCTGCCTTTAATGATGGTTTACAAGAAGATCGAACTACTCGCCAGTGGACTCATGACCTTGAATGTTTGGTTAGAGATATCTTCTTGGATGATAAAGGTCGTCCGACTATCAAGTTTGAACTAATTAAAGACTTTAGAAAAATCTTATCTATTGTGGCCGAAAAATTAAGATTTATTCCACTGCCAAAATTAGAAAAGTATGTTTGTCTTTATAGATTTACTGTTTTGTTTTGATAATTTACTTTGATACACTAAATATGTTTTTTTTTTTTCATTCTATTAGTTCTGATGAGCAGTACGAATATAGTTTCGATAATATCGTACTTCATGTGTCGGATATTATTCCCAAGCATCTTCATATCAGCTTGACTTCTGATATTAATATGGAACGTGAGTCGGAAGATGTCGTGCAAAACACTGCAGTTTTCGAAATGTAATTTGATTTATTTATTCATTTATTTTTTTTCTTGTGTTAATCTTTATAAAATATTATACTCAAACGTTTCGTTCTGATTAGCTCCAAACTCCGTGCCGATGCTCGTAATATCGCATTTTATTTTAAGAAAAAAGGAGGATTAATCACAATGCGTGATGTGAATACAATTTGAATTTTTTTTTACAGTAACATTTAATTTACGTCAATATTAAAATATGGTATACTATATATATTATTACAGGTCGGATTAGTTGATTTTGCAATTCCTGCTGATGGTTTACGATATTATATGAAAATCTATTTGGATCTACCTAACGAAAATTCACAATTCACACAATTCCGTATTCTTGAGGCAGATACTAAGATAAGCGATTTGAAGATTCGCTTACATGACACGAAACATGAGTAAGTATCATTCAATAATTGTATATATATTAATAAAAATTATCTTTTTATAAATTTATGATTTCTAATTATAATTAATTTCTCTTTTTCTAAAAAAAAATAATAAATAAGCTTCCTGTACATGTTGCTTACTCCTTTGGTGGAAAAGCGTCTTAAACGTCAAGTTGAAAATGTTATAACCGAACACATGAAAAAAGCCGTTGCGTTTATTCAAGACAAGATCGCTCGAGTTCAAACACAAGTCATTGAAGGGCAACAACAAGCGCAACAATCGGCTGCTAAGCAAACTACATCACCTGTAAGCGAAGAAAAGTTAAAAGCTAGGGAAGTTTGGAGATCCGAGGCCTTTACTTCAAAAGGTTATACTAAAGCATAAAAACATTTAATGTTAGCTTATTTTAGTAACAATGAAAGATTTATCATGAAATAACTTTTAAGCATTTATCTAATATTGCCTTAAGTTTTTAATCTGATGATGGACTTTTCTATTCAGTTAGAATTTTTTTTTCAATGTTTCAAATTGTCTCGACTTTCCCCATGCACAGCACTACCCTTAAATACGTGCTCTATTCGGGCAAAAAATTTAAATATTGGCTAACAGTAAATTTCTTATTTTCACAACTATTCACAGGTAGAACAATAATCATCTGTATTATTTCAAAAACCTTTGGTGTTATCCAACTTTCTAAATATTTTCTAAAAGTTTTCTAATTTTTATAAATTACACGTGAAATAAACATAAAAGACTCAGATAACATAAAAATACTTGTAGTAAAGTTTATTGTTCCACCCCAATTAGCATTACATTAAAATGGTTAAACGATTTATTTGTTCTGAATATTAAACTTTATCTCAATTATTCATTTACATATGTTGTAAGTGGAAACGGAATTTAAGTGGATTCGGAATTTATATATATAATACCCCGATCACTATATCAAGATCACGGGAGTATTTATTAATAATACCCTGACCGTATGTGAATAAGCGGAAACTCCGTTTCCGCTAATTCCCAACGGATCAGGATATTATTA